TGTTCAATTAGCTGCTACGGAACTTATTGATAAAGATCAATTAGTATGCAAACAACATGGTGAAATTATTGATATTCGAACAGCAAAAGGACCTATTCGACTACAAATAACTTTCGATTGAGTATGGGTCTTTGTAAAATTCATTGTCTTTTTTTTTTACTAATATCTATTGCAAACAAAATTAACAGCTTGCTAAATGAAAAAATATTGCTGTATATATATCATTACATCTTTCGTACGGATTTCAAATCAAATTATTTTTCTGTGAAAGTGTTTAAAAAAGAAACACAATCTAAATGCATGAATAGAAGAAAACATGAGCTACATATTGACGAATGAAATTTTTCAAAGAAAAACTCTCTATGAAGCAATTTGCCAATTTTACGGTAGATATGCCGCTATACATAATCAGCTCTCTTTCTTAATGCTTAGATGAAGAATTTTTCTTTCGAACTACAACATTAGATTATTGGAACAATGATCCTGAACATAGTTTTCGGAGACTATCGCTAGTTTGAGAATGTTGTCCCAATGATCTAACGTCACAGTTTAAAAAAAAAACAATTCCTTCACATAAATACGAAAAACAGATATACATATATATCATGTCATATCTACCATGATGTAGGCAAGTTGCTTCAAAGAAATTTTTCCTTTCAAAACTTTCAATTACCAAAATGTAGCTTGTATTTTCTTCTATTCATCCATATGGATTCTAATTTTTTTTTTTAAACATTTTCAAAGAAAAATAATTTGATTTAAAAACCGTACGAAAAAGTGACTACCTAGTACTGTTATAAGTTCAATTCAACTTTTTAAATTGAATTTTTGTGTAGATATACTACAGACAATGACTGGTCCTATGGGCAAAAATATGGCTTAGTAATGAAGTTATATTTAAAACGAAAGCGTACGAAACATTTCGTCTACCATTGTATATTAAAATGAACTTATTGTTGAATTGTATTGATTCAAGAAAGCACATAATATATTTTTTTCTTTTAAACTTCATTTCTTGTTTTTTTTTTATTTGTATAAAAGTTCATCGATATTCATTCTGCATTTTTTATTTTTTTCTTGTCAGAAGAATTGTTTGTTTCTTTTTTTTTTTTTGATGCATCCGGTGAATGTTTTTAAAAAACGAATGTTATAAACAATAACAATAGTAACAACAAACGACAACAAGAGTAAGTTAATAAGTAGAAAAAAAAAACCAAAGACACGCACACAAGATTGCCTACGGGGAGGAGAAAAAAAAAGACATAAGTTTATTCATTTGTTCTCATTTCGATATTAATCTTTGTTTGATTCATCGGTTGGTTTATTTTCATCTTCATCTTTTTTCTTCTTTCCATCACCTTGTCCAGCTGAGTCAGTTAATGTACTTGCTTTCTTTGTACCTGATACAATATCATCAATACGAAGTAATAAAATAGCAGTCTAAAAACGAATAAATTCAATTTATTATTATACAAAAAACAAATAAATTCATTATTACTTCAATTGCTGTTTTAATTGTTTGCATTTTAACAGCAATTGGTTCCCAAATACCAAATTTATGCATATCAACTAATTGACCTGTTTCACCATCAATACCCCATGCAAATTGATCAGGTTGTTGATGATGTTTAGCACGAAGTGTTGTTAATTGTTTAACAACATTTCCACCACAATTTTGTATTAATGTTCGTGGAATTATTTCCAATGCACGACTAACAGCTTTATATGGATATTTTTCAACACCTTTAAAAAATTCATCATTTATTGTACCATTTGTATTTTCACTACTACTCATTGCATCAAGTGCTCTATAATAGAAATTAAAAAAAAAAAAAGATTATTTTCAAATAAAAAAAGTCTTATAATAAATAAAAACCTTGAAAGTGCCATTTCAACAGCACCACCACCTGGTGTTAAACGTGGTTCAAGCATAACATTACGTGTTACATTCATAGCATCTTGAAAATTACGTTCAAGTTCATTTAATACATCTTTAGTTGCACCACGTAAAATTATGGTACATGCTTTAGGATTTTTACATTGATCAAAAAATGTATAATATCTAAAAAAAAACAAAAGAAAAAAGGAACCATTTTTTACAAAGAAAAATTTTCTTTTGATTTTCTTACTCATCACCGATTTTACGTATTTCAAAAAGACCACAACCAGTACCAATATCTTCTTCTTTCAAATCTGCTGTATCATTAACAATTGTTGCACCAGTTGCACGTGAAATACGATTATTATCAGATTTTTTTGTACGACGTACAGCTGAAATACCAGCAGCAGCCAAATAATGTGCAGCAACATCTAAATATTAAAAATAAAAACAAACATAATTTTTTTTTTTTTTTTTGTATTTCTATTTACCCGAAATTCCTTTTTCAGTTACAACAACATCTGGTTTAAAAGCAATGATGTCTTGACACATTCCTCGAATACTTTCTTCTTCTAATTGTAACATTCGTCTATTATATTTAAATAAAATTTATAAGAAAATATAAGTAATATCGAATAAACATACGTAAAATCAGGTTCACCACTAAATTCAAGTGATGTTTGACTTTCACCTTTTTTATATTCAAGTGAACAATCAAGTAAAACAATACGAGGATTTTCAATACGTCTAAATATTTGAATAAAACAAAACGGTCATGTTTTATCATATTTTTATTTATTGATTTCTACCGTTTCATTTTTGGATGAACAACATCTTTATTAAGCATAGCACCTTTAAGTAAATATGAATCTTCAACTGAACCACCTGGAATCTATATATTCAAAACAAAGAAAGATTATTTATCATTAATCTATTACATTAACAAACTTTTTCAAAACGAGCATAACGTTTTATATCAATTTCTCGTCGACCATTTTCATCAACAACAACCGTTTGTACGGCATCAAGTGATATTTGACAAGCTAATTCACTCCTAAAATAATTTATCAATTATAAACAAGAATTTTGTGTCTTTTTTTTTTTTTGATATGTGCAAGTCTAAATCAATAAACTAACCATCTTGATAAATATTTTGTTCCAATACAACTTTTAACAACACGTAACATTTCATCACGATTTTTAATATCAACTGGTATACTAGCTTTTGTTTTCATTATTTCAATACAATCTTCAAGTGCTTTACGATATGCACGTATAATAACAGTTGCATGTAAACCTTGTTGAAGATACTGTTCAGTTTGAGCCAATAATTCACCAGCTAGATTTTTTTTTAAATATAAATAATTTGTTGGAATAAATTTTTTTTTTTTTTTTTTTATTACCTAAAATAATAACACTTGTTGTACCATCACCAACTTCTTCATCTTGTGTGCGACTTATTTCAATCATCGATTTACCAGCTGGATGTTGAACTTGAATCTAAGAATAAACAAAGAAATTTTGAAAAAAATCAAACTATTTTCATTTACTTCACGTAAAATAGCATTGCCATCATTTGTTAAAACAATACCACCCATGGGATCAAGAACCATCTATTAAAATGTATAAATATTAGTACCAAGAATTTTAGAATATATAAAGATATATATATATATATGTATACATACTTTAAGCATAGCTCGTGGGCCAAGACATGTACGAATTGTATCCGCAATTGTCTTTAAAATAAAAACAAAATATTTTAAGGAAATAAAAAATATACGAAAATGAATACTTTGGCAGCAAATATATTGCTAAATTGAGCTTTTTTGCCTTGATCTCGTTTTGTATTTGCGTCTTTAAAAAAAAAAAACATTAAATTATAATGTTTAATTGATTAAAAGAAATTAAATTACTTAAAACCATTATTGGTTGATGACTACCAGCACCTCCGAACATCATTTTTGATTCTTCTTTTTAACTAAAATCTATGCAATCGATATAGAAAGAAAAAAAAGAGAAAGATCTTTATGTATGCAATGATGAAATGAAAAGAAGTATTTTGTTTATTCCTCTATTTACCATTATGATCCACCGTTGTTAGGATAACGGTGGAATAATTAGTTGTCGACAATCTATTGAAAATAAAATTTATCATCAACGTGTGACATCTATTGTAAAAGTAATATCTTATATTCATCAATAAATTCTTAATACTATGGGATGAAACTAAAGATTTCATTAATATGAAATTTTATTGTTGAAACATCAGATTGTTTTCAGTTTAAATTGTTGGCTTGTAAAATTGGCATTAAAAACATAAATTCTAAAGCTTAACAAAAAGATTCAATGTGTATTTCATTATTGTCGACAAAATAAAAAATTTTGACTTCAGAAATTACTGAATCCTATTTACATGATTATATTTCAATAGGTCAGAGTAAATTCTTGAATATAAATTCACTATATAGATTTTTAAACATTTTCTGTTTTATTGATAGTCTTTTATATTTTATTTACAATCGATATATATTTTTTTTTGAATTAAAACAAATGTCAAAACAAGACTTAACTAATTCTTTAAAAGGTATTAAGCGATTAAATACTTTACAAAACGTGACTTGTTCTATGTGAAGGTATTTACTGTCATGCATGGTTTTCATCAAGTTCTGTTTGAAGGATTTTACATTCTTTTCCATCGTCTTATATCAATACATTTTCAAGTTGACAATAATAAAAGAAAATGTTTCACATAATATTACATTCTTGATTCTATTAGAAGAGAACATACTTTTTACTCTTTTAATTCATAGTGACAATTATTTTTATAATTTTTCCTATTAAATTTACGTGTTAAATTGAACCATTTAGTTTCGTCGTGCGGTCGCCGTAGGGTTTTAAACATTACACTGTTATTTTTGTTCTTTTACTTCTTTCTTTTTCTCAAATGAGAACGTGTGTGTTAAGTGAAAGAGAAGAAGAAAAAGTAACCAAGACAATCTCGTTCTTTCATCCCGTCTTCATTTTCTTTATACATCAACTCTAGACAGAAGCAGTTAGAAACAAAGAAAATAAAAAAGAAAACGAAATTTATTTGCATACTGTGCTTTGTTATTAAACCATGACGGATAGTTTATCATCAAAATCACCAACATCACATTATACATCATCATTTGTTGCAACTAATTCATCTAAACATCGTTCAAATTTATTTATGTTTGCTAATGGTGATCGATATGATGGTGAATATATACTTACGGACGAAGATCAAATTATGCGTCATGGTCATGGTAAACATATAAGTGCTGATCAACAACTTATTTATGAAGGTACATGGAATCGAGATAAAATGCATGGAACAGGACGATTAACTTATGGAAATGGAGCATCATATGATGGAGAATTTCAATCAAATTATTTTGAAGGTTTAGGTACATATACATGGCCAGATGGAGCACAATATACAGGCATATGGCAAGGTTCAAGAGCGATAGGTAAAGCAGAATATACAGGACCAGATTTGGGTGTACCATTTGTTGGTACAGCTAATGGACAAATAGCACATATGCGATTTAAAGTGTCTTCTTCATAAACAAAGAAATTTGTTCTTTCATATAAACGAATTTATAAACTCGGTGTAATAAACATGTTATTGGTTTTGTTTGTCTTTCATTAAAAAAAAAGAAAAAGAAAAACTTCATTAGAATTAATTGTATTCAAATGAAATTAATTTATATCTTATTGTAAATGTATTTTTAAGGAAAACAATGTAATTGCTACAACTCAAATATCGATTTATGTATGGATTTTTGTTTGATATTGATGATAACGAATATATATTAGTCATATTGTTAATTACATGACAAGAGACATGATTGAATTGTAGATCAATTATTCATATAAATAATTTATTGAAATTTCTTCATTCAGTTTCTTTTTTCATTTGAAATATTTTTTAATAATTCATGAGATATCTAACTATGATTGTACATATTGGATTTTGAATATTTGAGATAGATATTAGAAATTGTTAAAAATGGTATATCGAATGAATGAATGCAAACTTGATTGACTGTTTTAGTAAAATAGTGCGCGAACTATTATTTCGCTGTTGTATTCAATAAAGATTAATTATTAACAACTTCAATTCTCTTGCATTAAACAAAATTTGTAAGCACAGTATCTCGAAGATTAGATATTATATTCATCAAACTATATAAAGATTTTAAAAGAGCACTGTACAACTGTATATAATCATTATTATTGCAAATGTGAATCGGAATTCGTTTTCGTAAAACAAAAGATAATGATTCCTCTTTAATGAATCCTAGTTTTCTCTATCACTTTCATACAAATTTATTTCTCTTACAATATATAGAATATTTTGGTTAGAAAGAAAAACGAATGTACAAAGCGTTGAAAAAAGTAATTAACAAAAGAATTTCTTCTGGAAAATTCTGTCACTTCAGAACAATTACGTATCTACAAGTTAATTGACGCATATGTCAAAATTTCAAAATATTTTTTTATTGTATTCCAGTGACCTCTTCTAATAAGAGTGCAATTTTAGAAGTTGTTACTATGCAACATAGCGTTTCGATGGTTGTATTTATAGATACACATGAAACAAAAGGAGTTTGTTTTGAGCATAACAAAAGTAAATAGGAAAAGAAAGAAAGAAAGAAAGAAATGCTATATACTCATTTTATTTAAGTCCTTTTTGTGTTATAGTATTAATCGTTTTCTTTGCGTTCTGATTTCGGTAAATAAATAAGTGACGCAGAAAGAAAAAGAAGATGGGTGCTGCCGCATGTAGAAGTTCTAAATCATCTGAACAAGACCAAGAAAAAGAAAATAGCAAGTAAGTTTATTAAATATTTATTTTTCTGATTATTCAGAAAAATAATACTATATTCATGTTTGAATTATTAAAATAGTCATCGGACACGAAAAAAAAAGTTTATTTAATTATATTTTCATATTTAAGTAGTCAATTTTTCATGGAGAAAATCAATTTTAAGATAATCTAATTTTGATAATAAGTCAATTATAAAATAAATTAATATTTATCAATCTAATAAACATTTTATTATTTGATCATTTTTCCCTTTAGGAAAATTACTATCGGCGTATTCGGTCTTGATAATGCCGGTAAAATAAAATATTATTTTTTGACATATTAGTTTTCTCTTACAAAAATTGATTCTTTGTTATCTTTACAGGTAAAACATCAACTGTTAAAGCAATTGAAGGCTGTAAGATAATAAACATATATATATATATATATATATATCCATATTTATTTAATTTTATAGCTCGAACAAAAACTGTTGTACCAACAGTTAATACAAATACATCAATGGTTCCATATCCAACAACAACGAAACGTGATGAAAAATCTCAGGAACGTATTAAAATAATTGATGTAAGTGGTGCAAGAAAATTCCGTGAAGAATCATGGTCTGATTATTATGATGAAATACATGGTTTAATATTTGTTATTGATGCAAGTGAAAAAAAACGAATGAGAGAAAATAAAAATACACTTGATGATTTACTCTACAATGATAAACTTCGAAACAAACCCATACTTATGTAAGTTAAACAGAAACGACATATTTCAACAGTATATATATATATATATGTTTTTTTTGTATTTATTTTTATTAATCAGTTTGGTAAATAAACAAGATGTCAAAGGAGCTTTAGATGATGAAGATGAAATCAAAGAAAAACTTGAAATTGAAGAATTAAAAATAAAACATAAAATTGTAAATTAGATAATTATTAGCAAAAAACTTTATTCTTTTTTAATTAAAATTTTTTTTTTCTTTCATTCATTTATTAAGGGATTCTGTACGGCAATACCAAATAAAGATAAAGGTGAAGATTCAATTCGAGCAGGATTTGCATGGTTAATAAAAACAATTGAAGATAACTATACGGATATAAATTCACGTATTATTAATGCAAAAAATTCTCGTCAACCAAAACCAATTGAAAGAAAAAATCAGTAAGAATTAATAATAAACAAAAACAAAATCTATTTCTAATATTACTTTTTCTTTTTCTATTAGAAAATTCGATGAATCAGATAGTGATAATGCAGTTGTATATCACAAAAAACGATCATTATCACCACCATTAAATAAATTTAATACAGATTATCGTTCAATAACTAATTCAACTAGATTACCAGCTTTAGATTTAAATAAAACAAAACCAAAAACATCAGGTCGTGAAACATATAGTGAAGATGATGATGACGATGATGATGTTAATAATATTCGTTCTCGTTTACGTCCAGTTGTTTCGCCTATTAATTCCGATAATACAACTCGTAATCGTTCATTAAATCAATTAAATACATCAACAACAAATACATTGAATAAGAAAAAAAAACTTACTGGTCCTCCTAGTAGTAATAAAAATACATTAATTAAAAAATCAAATGATAATGAACCAAAATCATATCGAGCACCATATGAACCATTTCCTGAAGAAGTACCATTTTCATCATCAACTAAAAAAACAACACCTACTGATGATATCATGTCTAAAACATTTACAAAATCATCAATCACAAATGATCCAACAAAACGTCATATGAGTCCTCTTGTTCATGATACAAAATCTTATAATAGTAGTTCAATATCAAAAGGAGTTAATTATAGTGATGATGATGATGATGACAAAAAATATCTATCGTCTTTATCAAAAAATAAACCATTCTCAACTTCAAAAAAACCAACATCAGGTGTTTATGGCGCTGACGATGATGATGATGACGATAAAATAAATAATAAAATGAATCGTCGTCCATTTGGAACGACTCCGACAACAACAACAACAACAACAAGTACAACAAAGAAATTTCAAAAACATGATGATGATGATGAAAATGATTATTCAAAAAAAACAACATTGAAAACATCAAAAAATTTTGATTCAGATGATGATGATGATGATAAGAAGAAGAACGATAATAAAACTTATCAAGGTCCGTTAGATCGTTATAATCTTAATAATGATTATCGTCGAATAACATCAAAACCACCAGCATCTCCATCAATAACAACAAATCGAACAAAAAATAATGAAGATGATTTTCCTTCAACATCATTATCAAAGCCTTTAAATCGTTCGAAATTCAACAATGATAATTATTTATCAACATTATCGAAGCCAACAAGTCGTTCGATAACGGAAGATGATAATGATCGTCCTTTAACTACATCGAAATCAAATATATATTCTAAATACAATGATGATGATGATAATTTTAATCAAAGACAAAAAAATAAAGTAAAAAAAGAATTATAATAATAAATTAAATATTTTATTTTGAACATTTTAGTCAACAATTCCATCAAAAAATCGATTTGAAGATGATGATGATGATAAAAAATATCCATCGTCTTTATCAACAAATAAATCGTTAGCAACTTCAAAAAAACCAACATCAGGTATTTATGGTGCTGACGATGATGATGATGACGATAAAATAAATAATAAAATGAATCGTCGTCCATTCGGAACGACTCCGACAACAACAACAACAAGCACAGCCAAGAAATTTCAAAAACATGATGATGATGATGATGATGATGAAAATGATTATCCAAAAAAACCAACATTGAAAACATCAAAAAATTTTGATTCAGATGATGATGATGATTATAATAAGAAGAAAGATACTAAAACTTATCAAAGCTCACCAGATCGTCTTAATCTCAACAATGATTATCGTCGAATAACATCAAAACCACCAGTATCTCCGTCAATAACAACAAAACAAATAAAAAATGGTAACGATGATTTTCCATCATTAACGTCGAAATATGGAACTCGTTCAAAATATGATAATGATTATTCAACATCATCAGTATCAAAACCGACAACTCACGTCAAAAATAATGATGATGATGATGATGATGATGATGATGATTATAAATCTAAATCAAAACCTAAAGTGCCTTCGAAATACAATAATGACGATGGTCTTCCATCTTCATCATCGAGATATGGAACTCGTTCGAAATATGACAATGATTATTCAACGTCAACATCAACAAAACCAACAACACATTCGAAGTATAGCGACGATGATAATCCATCCTCGTTATCAAAAACAATGACAAAATCAAAATACGGACATGATGATCGATCACCTTCACCTCCAAGATCAACATCACTTTCGAAAAAACCCGATGATAAGGTTCCGTTATCATCATCAAAACTAACTGCACGATCTAAATATGAAGATGATGATGATGATGATGATGATCGCCCATCGTATCCTCCAAAAACATCAACTCGTTCTAAATATGACGATGATAATAAATCTGGTTCTCCTGTGATATCAAAATCTCGTTCTAAATTTGAAGATGATGAATATCCATCATCATTATCTAAAGCAGTACCAAATTCAAAATATGATGATGATGATCGTCCAACAAATTCACCGAGATTAACATCTCGTTCAAAAGTTCTCGATGATGACTTTCCATCATCATCATCAAAGAAAAATAATTATTCATCACATGATGATGATTTTAGTGGTAGAGGTGGTGTACGACCTCGTTTTGGATATGATGATTTCGATTCATCCAAAGCAGGATTCAATAGTGCTCGAGCAGGTTCAGCTTCAGCTAATCGATTTCGACCGAGTACAAATTTTGACACTTGAAAAAAAAGCTTTTCTTTTTCCTTTATTTCTCACAAGAATTGTGATACAGGTTTTTTTTTTTTTGTTTTTTAACTTCAACTTTTTGTTTAATTTTTTTTTTTTTTTTTGTCTAACAAATTCTAAAAACTTATTTAAATCAGTTGGTTTTTCTATTTTTAATTTTTGTTTTCAAATAAAAGAAAATTAACGACAAATTATTGATCGTTCTTTATTGAAAATATTTTTATTCAAATCAACAATTATGTGATCTTATATACAAATAATTTTATTCTAAATATTTTTGAAATGGTTTTAATTTGTTTGTTTTGTTTTTAAATAAATATTCATTTTATTTGTAACAAAAACGATGTGTTCTTTTTTAACTACATAACTTAAAAATTATTTATATAGGTTTTCGTGCATTATTCAATATAACATTATGTATTTTTCAGACGAAGTAAATAAGATTGCATAATGAATTAAGTTCTTGCGAAGTTGCATATTTATTTTTAAGAATTTTTCATTTTATTTGCTAGTCTGAAAGGATAGGATCTAGAATCAGTAATTTACCTGTGTCTGTTTGCAACATAGTTACCATATGGTACCTGTGATGCAAATAATCATCTTAGTAGCTATGGAACGTATGACTGCGTATGGTGACAAAAACAAGACACCTATGCGTTAGAATTCATATTAACTGAGGAATAATATCGTAACTCGAAGAATACAAAGACCCGTATACACTGTGAAACAATCATATACACTCGGTTTTTCTTCGTATACGATCGTATTTTGATTTATTACATGACTCAATATTACGATCGTATTTCTCCTCGTGTAACAAGGACAAATACTATCGTTTACAGCGAGATACTCAATAAAATAGAAGCCGTATACTATCTTCGTATAAGAACACCATAAACGGCTGCGTTGACGTCCGTAAACTATTGTATTTCTCTATAAGTGATATGAAGAAATACGATCGTAATACTGAGACATGCAACACGGTAATATACGATGATTTACGATTGTTAAGGAAACGTGTTTGTTCGGATTGAGATGCAATTGGAAGTGACGATCATTATTATTATACTATTGAGCAATTGGATTGATTGTTTAAGAGTTTATACATGAAAACGTAATTTAATAATTATTATAAGTTAAAGAGTGAGTTTGAACATAAGATTATGATAAACTAAAATCATATTATTTGAATAATGCTATATTAAATATTTTTTTGGAATAGATATAACACTAATATAACTAATTATAAATAGTTGTATTGATTTTTGCATTATTTGACAAATAAAACTAAACAAATATGAAATAATTAGTATAATTTTTCTTCTAATTTAATCAAAGACGTTCAACAGTGTCCTGAAGGAGTTCAAATTGTGATGTGTCACGATTTTTATGCAAAGAAAAAAAACTCTCTTTCTTCTAATAAAGTATAAATCATATATTCAGATATGCTGAAAACAAACGAAAATTTTCTACAGTTGAAGAGTGATGTTACACTTGGAACATCTAGAGTCGAGCAACGCTGGAGGCAACTATAAAGTTTTGATTTCGAAATAGGATCACTTCCTTTATCCAATGTTGCATATGTTATCAAATTCTATTGCTTAACTATTTTCGATTAGATTTTACCTTACAAAGAAATCTCTCCAAGTGTCCGGTCGCTTTTCAACTGAGACAATATTCATTTGACGAGTACTAGTGAGTAATAGAAAAGTCTAGAATGATTTGGTTGTCTGAACTTTCATTCTTGAGATATTAAAATTTTACCGGGTTTTTCAACAAAAAGCAGTGATCATCCTCAGGTAACAAAGAAAATTGATTTTCCAATATCAACTTTAAACTTTACACAAGCAAAATTCTTAATAAGAGTAGTAGATTGTGCAAGTTTTAGCTTAACTTATGTTTTCTTTCTGGAAATGTGAATCTATGAACAATATTTATTTTAACACATGAGAAAATATTAAATATATCACGATAGGAGATACTAGAAAAGTTACAACTTACTCAATGAACTAATCTTATTGAGAAGTTTATTCGTGTAAAACTTGAAACTAAAACTCGAAAGTCGATTTCTCACGTGATCTGAGGAAGAAAACAGCTTTTTGTTGAAAAACTTAGTAAAATCTTGATACTTCAAGAACGAAGGATCGAAAAAATAAACCACTCGAAACTTTTTTATTACTCATTAGCACTCGTCAAATGAACACTGTCTCAGTTGAAAAGCAATCTGACACCTGGAGAGGCTCTATAGTTCATTTTACACGATTTTGATTTAGCTCCAGGTGGACTTGACTTAAAAAAAATGTTAAGCCTCTAATTTTATTTTTTTCTCATGGTGCGCAATAGAATCAGGTTATATATATGCATCATGGAATAGAGGAAGTCTTCTTCTTCAAATCTACATGTATCCTATTTTCAGGTTATAAATTACCGTGAAAGTTATAATAATCTTTCTATAAAAAATATATCTAATTATTAGGTATTGTTCTAGAAGAGCTTATTTTATTTTATTTTGATGAATTAATCCAAAAATAACATTTTCATAGATATCCCTTGTTCTCGTTCTATCATCAGGTGTTTTATTCAACTAATTATTGATGATTATATATATATAAACCTTCAATTGACGGAAGAAGAAAAGATTCCAATTAATATTTGGTTGAAATTTTATTCTATTTAACTAATCTGGTTAATATTTTTAATTTATTGAGGACAAAGGTAATTAGGATCTACATGAAAAGTAATAATAAAAAACAAAACGCACAGTACTCCTATGATTTGAAGTTAATTTTATATTTTCAGAAGTCTATCCGAAACGTTCTTCATGATTATGACTATCTGAATAATGATGATTTTGATATTTCGAATGTAATTTGCCTGATTTTGGATGATAACGTCGAGCATCAGTTATTCCATGAAATGTACAGGCAAATATCATTATAGCAAATAGCAAATTGACAAGATAATATTTCATATGTATCATCATTTCCTATTAAATATTTTAGAGAAACTAAGGAATCTGAAATCGGAGGAAATGAAGAGCGCTCGAATTTAATAGATAAAATAAAAAGAATGTTTTAGAAAAGCGCTCGAATTTACTCAACTACAAAAGAAGATTATCTTTAATTTATCATATTAACTAGTTGTAAACACAAAAAAGTTGTCAAAATCGATTTTCTTTTGAAGATAAACAATTCCATTGTATTCATAGATGAGTTTATCATCTTAATATTTTTTTTTATGCTACTTTCAACTAAAGTACCAACAAAATTCGCATAATCTTTTCTTTCGTTAATCTTAATTTTAAGATTAACCTTTTCTTGTTGTTTGAGTACTAGTAGAAAATTACGTATGATTATATATCTGTTTAGATTCTAACACCATGCATATATGTATATGTGATCTAATTTTAAATTCGAATTCATTTTATTTTTTATTCACAATATTCATTAATATTTACTTGACTTTCATTGCTGAATGTATTGATAAATATAAATCTCTTCAGAAGCAATCCATTCATTGAATGATTATGTGTCATTTGAAAGTTATTTATGTCATTTGTACCTGAATTTCATTAGATAAACAATATATTAATTATAATCTTAAGTAAATTGCTAAGCTTTAGGGCACCATCCCCCCCCGTATCAAAATTTTCTGTTTTTAGCGTCAAGGATTTTTATTAGTTCAAGAGAGATATCATTGTGATCTTTTTCAATCGTTACAAAAAATGAAGCGCTTTGCTTGTTGTTTAAACCGTAAACAAGTTTTCCTTTACAAAGCCTCTATTACAAACACAACATATCAGATCTTGCTTATTTAGTACATGATCCATACTAAGCAAATTATTCCATTATCAAAATATGTTGTATGAGTTGAAGATTTATTCTTTTGATAGTTTTTTCAAAATGTAATAGTTTGATAACTATACATGAAAACATAAAAGTATTAAAATATCGAAAAATTTTCTTCGTAATATTTCGACCGATTGTGTTGAGACTTTATGACAATTTCAATGAAATTGAGATGAAGATTTTCTTTTTTGTTTGAAAAACTATTATATCAGTGAACTTTGATAGATTTGACAAAATTTGTAACAATCGAAAAGTAACCAAAAATTAAGCTTTTTTTCTGAGTGCTCATAACATTGCGACTCTCATTTTTTTCAACAATTCGATATTTTTCTATAGATGAAATTCAAAACAATGATGAAGGAAAATTTCAAGTCAGCTTTGTCCTTTGTGTCTCATATTTCTAACAGAAAGAAGTATTGAAAAATTTCAAGCCTAGGACAAATTTTATTCTACTCATTGACGTCTGTTTAATTGAAAATTTACAAAACTTTTCACCAACTCGTTCTTGAGAAATTGCCGAAAATAGGGAGAAGGTGCTCTAAACTATTTGATTAGTAAATATTAGAAAAGCTTTTTCTTGTTATAGAAAATAACAAGACTTCATTTGAATTTTTAAAATTTTTTATAACAAATTTCTGCTTGTTTTTGTTTTTTTAAATATTTTTTATAATGATGTCAACAGTCATCGAGTACATCAGGAAGGTGGCAAACACAAATAAAGCGGAATTCCGAGGTCTGTTCCATGCACGGATGATTGTTTTTTGAAAAAAAAAATGAAAGGCTTTTCCAAATAAAGAAGCGCAATCCCAGCTTTCGGTACCATGTCCCTGGATGGCATTGAAAGCTCTTTTCTGAGTATGAATTTGTATTTCATCAGCAAGCATTCGTACAAACAAGCAAAGCCATGTGTGTATTATTCTCATTGAATTTTTTTCTTGTTTTTTTTGCAGAAAATCAAAAACACATTTGACAATTAAAACAAACAAAAGAAAAAAAAACAAGCATATACACAATCATCGGAAAAAAAGATCATGATAGAAAATAAAAAAGAAATAAAATAAAATTCTTGTCCCTTCTTTTTCTATTATTATAATTTTTTCTTGCATTTTATATTTAACTGAAATTCGTTTTAAGTGAAAGGAGATAACAGTTGACTAAGTAATTCATTTTTTGATAGAGCACGAACAAAGTTTTCTTTTGTTATAAGTCCTTGTTCATTACAATGACATGAACTTATAAAATGTTTGAGCAATTCAACTGATTCAAATTCATTACCATTACCACCCAACATTCTTAATACATACTAAAACAAAACAATAGAAATGAAACTCTTATGTTTAGTATTTCCATATAGAATACTTTAGCCATAACATCTATTTCTGATTGATCAATATAACCGTTTTTATCGATATCTAGAAAATATATCAAATAGAATTTGAGTTTGGTTTTGTTTTGTTTTTAAATATTTAATTCAAATTTTACCATAAAGTTGAAAAGTGTAATCTAGTTTTTCTTCCATTGATCCCTTTGTTGTTAATAAAAATCCAATAACAAATTCTCTAAAATCTATATTCAGGAAAACGTAAACAATCATAATAAGATTATAAACAGGGGAGAAAGTTAAAAATATTGTTCGTACCAACTTTGCCATCATTATCGATATCGAATGCTTGATATATAGCACTAACAACATGTTCGATCTTATCCATGTCGCATGTACTTAAATCTTTATAACATTTTAACATATCTTTTTTTGTCATTTTTCCGTTAGGACATCGTGACTAAATAAAAATAGAAAAAAAAAGAAGCATAATTACGATTTCATGACAATTATTCTTGAATTGTTGTCAAGTTTCATCATAACTCAGATTGAATACATCATAAGTGTTGAACTACTTAGAAAACATTTTTTTTCTTGGTCTTCTTGGTGCTAATGAAAAACAGGAAAAATGTTCAATCAATAAATCAAAGAAGTTCTTTTTTTTATTTATATCTTTCAATATTTGAATAAAATTCAAAAAAATTCACTTTAATCTAATAAGAATATATAAAAAAAAAGAATCAGTTTAGAACATATGATTTCAGTTGCTTTTTTCAATCATATAAAACACAAATCTGCTCGCAAGAAAAAAAAGGTCATTATGATATTTTTATTTTTAAGAAGATTTATTGAAAAGGACGTTCTATACTTAATATTTTCCATGGATTCAAACCGTGTCATAATATATTATTCGTAAATCAATTAAAAAAGAAATTGGAAACTTAACTTTTTTTTTTGACTAAGTTGCAAACATAAAAAACTTAGAATACAAAAGAAAAGAAAGCCGTTGGGTAAACTATTTTTTCTTTTTCATGTTGATTTAACATTAATGGAAATTATATTGTTTTTACATTTTTTATATTCTCACCTTGAGTTCGCTATACCAACTTGTGATTTCAGAAGATTTCATTCTTGTTTTACGTTTAATTAAAGCTAGTGTGGCGTCGTCCAGCGTGGCCGTATTGAAATGATTACCCATGAGTAGACCATTCACCGGTGGCGACAGTATAAAATCTTGAAATAAAAAAAAATAAAGACAAGTTAAAAAGATGTTCTTGAAAATATATAAGTCATTTTTATGAGAGAAACATTTCTTTTCTTGTTCATTTAGTGTTACTCTTTATATACCTATGTTTTTACGTTTTGACGTCATTCTTTCTATTCATCGGATTAATAATCAACGACGATATGAATCGTCGTTAGTAAAAAATAAATATCAATGTGCGTTCTCTTCGCATATAATTAACTATGTATTTAGACAAAATTATAAAAAAATAATTTTATTTTCAAAAACACCTGCGTAAGTCACAGGATCTTCTTTTCTATGTGCATGATTATATGAGATAGAACGACAGAACACATTTGACATTAAATTGTCGCATGTTATTATAATTCTTTTATCCAAAACGAAAAAGAAAACTAGTGTTGTGTGTGTTGACGACACTATATGCTGAATTAAACAGAAACATGCAAGAAAAAAAAGAAAAAGAAAAATAACAACAAATGAAACATAGAGATACAAATATTCACCTGTACACCTACGAATTGACTGTATTATTCAACGTTTTCAGACTCAATCAAATAAGAAGTATGTTTGTATTAATAAAACTCCTCGAATTCTTCTGTTACAGGTGAAGTTTGTTTTTTAAGATTCACATATGAAAAAAATCTCATTATAATTGAGTTTTCTTCTCGTATGACAACTACTTTATATTACACTTAAAAAAAAAAGAATAGCAAGATCAATGATATTCTTATCTCATCTAAGTAATTCGTACCTACTAATTGAAACTAACAATGATGAATGTGCTTGTCTTTTTTTTTGACTAAAATAAACTTCTAGAGTATTAATAAAAATAGTTTATCTGAAATAGAATAATTAAACTTTATAACCTATTGTTTCTTGTAAATGAATGTTCGAATGTCAATGGTAAAGAAAAAAAATTGAGTTTTCTCCATGAAGAAATAATCATTTCTTTCTCATTCATGTTGTTAACGTTTGCAACGAGAAGAAGTAAAAAAACAAAAAAAAAAAAAAGAACAAAAAAAAGAAAATTTCTATAATTCTTTTATGCTAACTTGTAATCAGGCAATGCTATGATGTAGCAGTAATTCTGACACAAGCTTAAAAGCTAAATGTGAAAAATATTAAGAACCATAAAAAAACAAAACAAAAAAAAGCAAATGATATATATAACAAAATACAATATAATTTTATGCATGATTAGGAATTATCAATCGTAGATGAATGGTTCTATGGATCTCGGATCATAGCTTATCGATATAAAAACAAATGTGACACATTTGTAATTTCGCTTTTTTCTTCTTTAAATAGTGTTTTACATTTTTGTTCTATTCACTTATAGTCGTGCTTCGTTTGTTTTTTTTTTCTATTGCTAAAAAAGACAAGACCTCTAGAAAATAAAACAAAAAAAAAAGAGAGAGAAAGAGAAAGAGAGAACCAACTATAAAAGACATGATAATTATTTATCATCAGACATCACTCTCGTTTCTACCAAACACCTACGTATTCACTACCGGAAGCTGTTCAATGTGAAACGAGAGAAAAGATTAAGTGAGAAATGCACTAAACTGTCTTTCTGTCTGTTAATGAACGTTGAAATGACACTACGATGTGTAATGAATTGAAAATTCTTTACAAATGATAATATTCTTATTATGATCCAATATTTTCTTTGTGTCAAAGTCCAATTCTATATATTTCAACTATGATTAATATATTTTCAAATTTTCTTTTTCACAATAATATTGAACAATAATGGATACTGTCAGTTTTAATTAAACAAGGTATATAGATGCTTTCCGGATCTGACTGTCAAAATACTTATCATTATAGTTATAAATGAGACAATTGCGACGCAGTCTATATTTATATTGACTATATATTTGTAATTAAAAAGAAAAGAGCAGATTTGCAAATTTTATGAATAATCCATAGTCCTTACAGGCGTCTCTGCTGTTCTTTTTAGTTAGTAGTTCACTTAAATTATATAATAAGAAGAAAACAACAACTTTCAACCGATGTTTTTTTGTCCTATTATTTGAAAAAGAAGTAATTAGAAATGTATATATATATATATAATTGAAAACTTCTTGAAAAACATATTTGAGTGATAGCTAAATATGCTTTACTATTTTCGTTTGAATACATTGTATTCCTGAATAAAAATAAATACGATTGCATCGTCACTATTAGCCTTTCATCGAGTTACATTTCTCTCTTTTAACATGTTTATTTTGTTAAATTATAAATATCTACTGTGAATCATAAACTAATAAAAAGTTTTCTATTCAAAATATCATAGGTACTTACACGTCCTGAAGCTTTTTTTCTCTCTCGTTCATTTTCATAATTACTTACTCAAACATTATTTAACTTTTCTTTGAATATTCATATATATATATATGTGTATGTGTCTAACGTACTGTTAAACGAATCGATATTATATATAGATATAATGATTAGTGCTTGAGAGCAAATAAGATTTTTTTTTTGATGCCTTATGTGAAATATATACATCTGTTGGTAAGAGTAGAAAATGTATCTACATATGATAAACGTATATCTATTGATTTGAAGAAGAATTTATTGTATATAAATAAAAATAAGGAAAAAACCAGAAAAAATGCCACTAGGCAACTCGATCCCATTCGTTACTCGACCCTCGTTGTATGGCGCATGACATTTCTCGTCATCTTTTGCACGCATATCGTGGATTAAAAAGAATTTACATGCACAAAACATACTAGTCGTCTTTTCTCTATCAATACCGAAAATAAATCATAGCAAAAACACAAAAAATAAACTCTTTCTTTTTTTTCAATAATGGATTATTTCAAAAGTATTTTCTGACTTGAACTATTTGATCTAGTATATTTGAAGCAAAGAAAAATAAAATAAACTTTTGTGTAATTACTAATTTAAAACAGCATCTAATCAAGAAAACATACTTGAACGAAGAGAAAACTTAGAATTTGAAATTACATATCCGGAGAACGAGTTATCCTTTCTAGAATATTAAATATAAAACATACTCATGATTGAATAAATGATATTATTCTACTTTCGAAAGTATTATAATTTACTTAAGGTTGAAAGATATTTCGAAAAACTTTTTGTTATTAATATTTCTAAATTTAAATATTCCAGAGCTTTAAATTGTATATTAGAAACAAAGCAAAAATTTAATGTTACAAGTTAAGAAAATTGAATTTCTCAATTTACAGTATCATGTTATGTAAAAAGGATTATTCAGTTATAGAAGATTTTCATATTAATTTTTGAGCTTATTAGCTTTTAAAATAAGTAAACAAACCCATGACGTAAACTATCTAGTTTATTATTTGTAGAATAACATAAATTTTTAATGTTTCTAAGCTTTAGTTTTATTAAATTTTTCCAAGGTTACATATAGATATCCTATGAAAATTATACTTAGAAAAAACGTTTGAAATACAAAAGAGATAATAGATTTATTTTAGAGTGAACTTGAAGTTCGTTAAGTGAACTGTAATATTATTTAGCAGGATTTCTTTAACAACTAAACACTAAGTAAGCATATTAAATGAGCTGAAAAAACAGAAAAATTTTTCCGGAAGTAAAATATTATATACAACGGATTATATGAATTTTTATAAAAATTTTATTTCATGAAAAAAAAAATAAACAAGAGTTTATAATATCTAATGAAATGAAAATGGCACGATCGTTATAAGTACTATGACATGTTATATCCTTCTTAAATGTTTTTATCATTATATAATAAATAATTATGCAAAAACACTAAGTTGACTAAAGAACTAAGTTATCTTTAAGGATTTAATGACAAGTAATACTTAATCGAAAAATAGTCTGACAAAATATTCATTTAGTTTTTAAGCTTCTTAAAGAAGCCTGAAAAAAATTTGAAAACATTAGAGTACAATCATAATTTTGTGTTTTTTTTTCCGAATATGTGTTCAAAAAGTTTGAAAGAACTTTAATACACCAAAACTATCTCAAAATAGAATCGAAAATTATTTCAAATGCAACGAGTAAAAGAGCAAATATTTCTCTATAAAATGATATACTTATGATTAGTTACACTATCAGTCATTTATCAATAGTTCGTATTTTGATAAAAGATATTATATCAGTTCATAAAATTTTCTCAATGTCTATGAAAGATAGACTGACAAAATGAGCTTATATCATCTTTTATAGAATTATATCATGCATTTAATTCTATTCACGAAAATAGGTAATACAATTCCTGCAGTAAATGAGACTAACTGCAAAAAAAAAAAATTCAATTTTTTTTGTCTTAAGTAAATCCGCTTCTAGGCAAGATTAGCTTATAGCTTCTAAACCAGAAGCTCTAGAGAAATTTTGAAAGCATATTCGGAACGAACAGAAAATTCTAATTCTAAAACAATGCTTTGATCATTTATTATAGATTTTATTCTTAGCTAATCGCATATAAGCGTGCTCGATCCGCTTTTTTCTTAATATGATATTATTAACGAACAATTCTTTTTATTTTTGACTAATAATTTAATTATATAAATAATCGAAATTCTGAAGTTTTATTTCTTTTTTCAAAGAATATTTATAACATTATAATAGTAATGGAAAGTTTTTAAATGAAAAATCTTTTTTGTCAATATACAATATTTTATCAAAATTTTCATGTTGTGAACTTTTACATTATTTACTTAGGTATAGATCAATACAATGAAAATAACTATTGTTGAAATAATATTGTTAACAAAAAGAAAGAAAAAAAAAAATAGTGGAAAATAACAGAAATAGATGAAAGACAATGAATGAGTTTCTTTTTAAAAAGAAAAATATTTTTCTTATTGTCGAGATGATGATGTTTTTTGATTGGTTATTGTTTGATTTGGTTTAATATCTTTCTTTTTTTCATCATCTGTTTTCAATGGAATTGTACGTTCAACAATAGTTTTTTTTTGTTCATCATCATCATCATCCATATCAGCACGATCAGCATATTCAGCTATTTCAGGATCTTCTTCAGATTCATCATCAGAATCTTTACTTGCAATATCATCTTCAATTTCATCACGAATATCTTTAGCAAGCATATCACGAAATGTATAATCTTCAGATGTCCAAAAACCAGTATCATTACTTGAAGGTTTATCATAAAATTTTTTTGTTTCTTCATCAGGAATAAATCCATTAGATTTCGTTGATGATGACAATTGCGGATAACGGCTAGAATGTTCTTGTTTTTTAATTTTATATGATTCATTTGTGATACCATATGAAGAATGAGAAGATATTGGTGATCGAGAACGATCAGAACATTTCTTATTGACCTATAATAATATACATAAATTATATTTAACAATGAATACTTGAATTTGTTTAATGTTGATCCTTAAGAGAAAAAACTGTTTTAGCGCACAAACCCTGCCGAAATTAAAATGAAAAAAAAAAAAAAAACAATTAATTTGCATTGATTGTAAATCGAAGGATTCTACAAAACATATTCTTCAGTTTAAGACTTCGAAGGTACTGATATGTCCTATATTAAAAATGTTTTTCATCATATGTCACACTCACCGAAGTAGAAAAGAAACCCAAAAAAAAGTAGTTTAAATTCAATCTTCTATCATAATAATTCCATAGGAGGCTTTAATTCTTTCGTTAAGTCTGCCAAGACTGTGATGAACATGGATGTTACTAGGGTATCTGTCGGGAGGAGGAGGCGGCACATTTTTGCCTTTATACATCAATATTTTTTTTAAAGTACATTTCATAAAATGTTGTAATTCTACAATTAATAAATTATCAAACCTTGCAGTAACTAATATAGAAGATATTTATTTTAATCTCTATTCATCATATTCTTTTTAGCTGTCTTGTATAAAGCCTTATCTTAAGTAGGTTTCTCAACATTTCACAACAGATTTCTTTCTTGAGTCCCATTCATATGATAGACATTATCTTAACACTATAGTATCATAAGGAAATAGTATATAATTATAAATTTGATCACAGAATAAGACAACAAAACGAAACTATATTTTTTCTTTTCAAATAAATTTAAAAGAACTTCATCTTTTTTATACTTAAAAGATAATGTGTATCCTTTTTATTATCATGAAAACAATTATAAAAGAAAAACCAGTGGAAAAGCTTACGAGGGATCCTTCTTAGATGTTCACTGTCGGTATCAATATTTTTTTTTTGCCTATAGATATTACACAGTATTTTTAATAAAACCCTTGAAAGAATTTAGATTTCTATTGAAATTTGACGCAGCTATTGAAATTTATTCTTAAGGTTCCCAGGTTTTCGGAAAACTTATTGTCTCGAATTTTGATCTGAAATTTTGTGCATATAGAGAACTCAACTAAACTAGTTTCCACGAAAAAATTCAAAAGTTTTGAATAAAATTTCTTCAAATGAATTTTACTACGGAAGCTAGTCCAGTTGAGTTCTCCATTTGAGTAAAGTGTCCGAAAACCTGGAGTTTCTAGAAAATCGACATATTAAAAATTCGATAGTTTAGTCCAATATCAATAGAAAGCTAAATTCTTTTAATGTTTTTATTAGAACATTATGTAGTATCTATAGGCAAATAATTCTTGAAATTGATAAGGAAGACATCTGTCAAGATACCATCGCTGGCAATTGACGCCATATGTCTAAGAACCTCACATAAATGATTATTCTCACAATAAATAGTACATTTGTTTTCTTGTAATCTAAACCAAAAAGAAACGATGGCTTAATTTATCTAATTCTTACTGGGTTACAAAGTTTTCTAAATTCAATTTTATCAAATACAGATTCACCTGTCACTACAATTATGACAGGAATTAAAATTTTAATATAGTTTGAAATTAAAAATAACTAATAGAACTTACTCGATATTTGTAATCGTCATCTTGTTTATCCGAACGTGAATATGGTCGACGACTCATTAGTATAATATTTACTAATCTTTAAGATAAATTAAATCTTTCTATAAATATTCAACTCAAGCTGAATTGATATTTATTTTTTTGAATTTGCACTCTAGTGACTTTCTCAGCTGAGCATTATTAGGTTAAGTAAAAAAAAAAAAAAAACAGCCAAGCTCAGCGGGTAATTGATTTGAAAAAAAAAGAACAAACAAACAAAATTACAATACACTAAAGGAAAGGCAAAAAAACACTAAAAATTAGTATCCAATTTTTTTTTGCTTCTCTTCGCTTATTTTATCCATTTCACAAATACATTTTCATACACATTGATTATTTCCCATCATGTCAAAAAAGAATATATGACTAGTAAGCAAAGCATTAATTAAAATTGCACGATTCCGCTTTTTAATTTGTTTTATTTTCGTCTTTCTACCATAGTTGTGTAAATTCAACACCTATCCAATGTTCTTCACGTTTTTTCCAATAATAATGGAATGGATCTTCATCACGAATAAGTGTATATGAATCACCGTCACATTTAAACCATTTTGGACAAAATGCAGAATCAGCACGTGATCGTTGAGCTGCTTCAATACGAGCTTTTTCTTTCTCAGCAAGTTCAACTTGACCTGCTTCAAGAAGACTAAAAGAAAAAATAAATACCATTAAATAAAATCAATCAATCAATCATAATGATATAACAAACCGCTGATCAGGTCTAAAACGTGTATCAGTCGGCGGTAAATGTTGACGAAGATCATCATCAAGTTCATTTAATTCAATAGCAAATCGTGTAAAACCATAGTATTGTTTTGAATTTTCCGGAACAGCACCTATTTAATTAACAAAATAAAGATTTTCTAAAGAAAAATCATACTTTCTCTTTTTATAATATAAGTTTTAGCCAGCTGATAAAAAAAAATGAAATCAATCTAACTTCAGTCTATATATCCTCTTGTCACTTAGAGCAAATATTATTATTCTAATTTTCAGTACCTGGAATCTAGCTATTCTTATGATTATATTAAAAATAATGCACGGATTAAACTTGAGAAATTGTTAGAAAATTGTATCATCAAAGGACCCTGTCCAATTTGGTGATCTAGTTGGAACAAGAATGTCCTATATATGGCTTTGTAAAAAATTTTAAGGCGCATCGAATGGTATATAGGAAGTTAAATTTTCATTGAGTTTTCATGTAATAAGGGTCCATATATCGGGTATAAATCTATAGGAATTTATGAATACTGGGAGCTTTATGGCGCTCTATAATAAATATATTTGAATCTCATTTTCAAACATAATTCAATACAGTTATGGATGGTCTTCAATAGTTTATAATCGATAAGTTTGACTGCAGCTATTTTATAATTAAAAAAGGTGGTTTCCCACAGGTCTAGGCTGTTTATTGNTTCAGATCGAAGTTCGTTGATTTGATTTTGGATGTGAACCAGTGCGCTAGGGCAAAAATCGAATAAAGCGGTTATAACTCAGCCCCACAGGTGCATGGGCCCAAATCCTCTTAGGGTTATTCTAGTGTCGGGGTCTCCTACTTATCTCCAAAGTATGAGCTCTAAAGCGGTGAATCATCTCGAGCGGTTCCCTCGTAAGCTTCCTACAATTCGTGAGAGAAAATTCAACCATTTTATATAATGAATATTCAGTAATATCAAATGTCTGTTATTGAAAATACAATAGTCGTTAGGAAGGCATAATGTGAAATAATCTTCATATTACTATAGTGCTCGTTTTTTTTTTAAATGGATGGTTGATCTATATCGATACTATTGACTTCTTCATAATCCCGATTTAAGCTCACCAGATTACACTGTATGAGATAAACTCGCATATACGTTAGAAAACTGGTCAAAATTTATATAACAGAAAAGCATCGATGTGAGAATGAGAACGTGCAACAAGGCATATTAACGAAAAAAAATTTTTTTTTAAATGAGGTGTTCTCGAAATATAGAGAGGCTTGTTCTTTACGTATCACCCGTTAGACAATTGTGAGTGACTAAGAAGAAGAAAAGAAAAACATCGTCCTTTTCGTTCCCTTTTTGACTTGCTTTTTTTGCTCTAGATCTTGTATTCTTCTCTTCAGATCTTTCAGCCCAGAAATTAAAAAAAATTCAGGGCTAACCCAAGACGTTATCTATTTTTATTCTCATATCTTTTTTTTTTTCTCTGATATTTACTTACATATATAAATATCAGGATAACGAATTACCTAGTGGGTCTTTTTTTCTTCATTGCATAGAAATTTTGTGATTATCATATACCCATGGTGAGGTTATTGTTGTCTTCGATCGTTGTTTTTATCCTACTTGGAACTATTGCTTTGAATGTTAATGCTTATAAATCCTATTCGAAGCATCAACTATGGCGTTTACATGTTACAAATAATGAGCAAGTGGCTAAAATGCTTGAATTTAGTCGTTTAGCACATATACACGGTATTAATTTTTGGTCAGAAGAATTTCGTATTAATGTTCCTGTAAGTTTATTAAGTTTTTCCTTTCTTTTAAACTTTATAGAACTAGTCACCTAACTATATCTCGTCACAGTCGTGACCAAAACGAAAAAGAAAAGTTTTTCACAATAGGCTTCCCTAATGAGACTAGAAGAATAAGTCGAGTGAAATCTTTGTCACGACTAATAAGCAACATTTGTCTCTGCCGGAGATTGTTCTATTCTCACGTCTTAATTTGTCACTTTTAAGACGAGAAAATTATGAGCAAAAGGTTTTACTCGTCTTATTCTTCTAGTTTTCTTAGGAAAAGTTATTACAGAAGACATTTCTTCTTTTTCTTTTTGTCACGACCGTGATTATAATGCACATTTCTATGTAAAACATAACAAAGAACTTTCTCTTTATTTTTCTAATAGTTCGAGTAGACATATTCGATTGTTTTTGAAAGTTAAGTTTTTTTTCTTAACTAAGTTTTTTTTCCTAATTAGATTGATGTTAGTATACCACCTGAAGCTATTGATAGTTTTGATGAATATTTATCATCATGTAATGATAAAATCAAATATGATGTTGTTATGAAAGATATCGGTGCAATTATTGATAAACAAAAATTATTACATAAAGTACGTCCATCAACTGTAAATGCTGATGATTTTGCTTATGATAAATATCATACAATTTATGATATTCATGCGTGGATTGATAAAATGGTTCAAACATATCCAACATTAGCATCAACATTTACTGTTGGTCAATCATATGAAAAACGTGATATGAAAGGTTTAAAAATATCATCAAGTAAACAAGCGACTAAACGTGATGGTACGCCAGTAAATAAGAAAAAAGCTGTATGGTGGGATGGAGGTAATTTTTAATATTTAGTAATTTTTCTTTTTAGATGTAAGTTTGTTTTTTTTTTCTTTGATATTTATATTTAAGGTATACATGCTCGAGAATGGATTAGTCCAGCAACAGTTATTTATATTGCTCATGCACTTTTATCAAATTATACTGTAGATCCAGAGATTACACATTTTGTTGATCAATTTGATTATTATATTTTACCTGTATTTAATGTTGATGGTTACTCTTATACATGGACAAAAGGTAGAAAATGAAATTTAAACAAGTCTTTAAAAGATAATATTTATTTTTTTATTCTTCTCTAGATCGTTTATGGCGTAAGACTCGAAGTAAAACAATTATTCCTCTTTGTTATGGTGCTGATCCAAATCGTAATTGGGATTATAAATGGTGTGAAGGTAAAATTATTTATTCTCATTAATAAGAAAATATTCCTTGTATTTTTTTTTATTCATAGGTGGTGCATCACATGATCCTTGTTCAGATACATATTGTGGTAGTAAACCATTTTCTGAAATTGAAACAAAACAAGTTGCAGACTTTATTGGTGCTAATAACGATAGTATTGTACATTATATTAATTTTCATTCATATTCACAACTATGGATGTCACCATGGGGTAAATATTAGAAAAAATTGAATAATAAAAGTTCGTTTTAAAACATGATCTTCTTTTATAGGCTATACAACTAAACCACCAAATGATTTCAAATTACAAGATGATGGTTCAATTCAAGCGGTAGATGCACTTGGTTCTGTTTTTGGTTCGTTTACAACACAAAATTCTTTTTCTTATTTCTTTTTTCAATATTTTAGGTACTCAATATGATCATGGTAACATTGGTGCAACTATATATATTGCATCTGGTAATACAGTTGATTGGACATATGGTACTGCTAATGTAATGTTTAGTTACGCTGTTGAACTTCGAGATACTGGTAAATGAATTTTTTTTTTTTCATTTTTTTAAAAAAAAGTTTTTTATTTTAACTTTTTGTCAATAGGTGAATATGGATTTATATTACCAGAAGATCAAATTGTTCCAAGTGGTCAAGAGACATTAACTGGTGTATTAGCTTTATTGAAATATATTGAACAACATGTTTATGCATAATATGAAACGAGAAATATTAATGAAATCTAAAAAATGAACTAATTTTTCAATATTTTTCTTTCTTCATTTTGAGTATTTAGTATAATGTGAACTTGTTTCTTTCCTATTGAAATATTCATTTTTTGTTTTGTCTTTCTCAATAATTGTGATCGATAAATTTAAATTAAAAAAAAAAACATCATAGTTTTTTCTAATGAATATACTTGAAATTTTATAACAGTTATTAGTATTATTATACATAATTCATAAATTTCATTGTCATGTCAATCAATAATTAAGTTACTTTTATTAGACTTCTATGTTATATATGAGATATTTACTTTAGTTATGTGATCTTTTACTTAATCAAAAAAACAACGCAGTGAACTAGTACATTATACATTTAAAATTTTTTAGTATCCAAGTGCATAATCAGTTCTTCATATTGATGTATAAAAGTCAATACGTTTGTCATTAATCATATTTACTTGTGATCGCTTATAATGATAACAGAAGTATGATTAACCGAAAGAAAAAAAGTCGAACAAAACGCACTTGCAAGTTTCGCTGTGTGACTTCAAGGTTTTCTTTCATTTAGAATAAAATAATTTCTTAGGCCTTTACAACAGATATTTATGTTTATTTTTACGGCTTCAAATATAATTCATTTTTCGTTATGTATAAAATTTTACTAAGAAGAAAATAAAAGTACAAAATAATTCTATTAGTACACCACTGTAATATCATATTACTTTTAAAAACAGAGACAAACATCTGTTTTCAATACGTGTATTATTATACTTTATACATTCATATATTTCGTTTATCCGCACAATCAAAATGATTACTGTAGAAAAACAATGTTTGTCTAAACTATGGTAATGAATACAACTAACTTTTCATGCTTAAAAATCATTAAAAAGGATATATGAAAAGAAAAAGTTTTATGAGATAAATTTTATGCTGAAATGTAGATATATATATATATGACGTTGTCAAGTGAATACTTGAACTTGAAAATAAGATCTTTTTTTTTTCTTCTCTTCTCTTCATTCTTATCATTTACATATGTGCCCTTGTAAGAAGAGTTTTTTATTATTATACAAGACACTTTTTCTTTTTTTCATCTTCTTCTTATCATCATCATCATCATTATATTTTGTTACTAGGATGACGTCTTATGAAACATCAACGATACAACGTTTTACCGATGACAATATTCTACGTTTAGAATCAATTGATGAACATGAAAATGCAGATGAACATTTATTACGAAAACAATCGAAAGATCGACTCCCATCTCTTTTTCCACCAATAACAGCACGTAATACTGTATCAGGATTAGCAATGGCAAATAATAGCATGGAATCACCAAGATCATCAGTTGCAGTCAATGCATTGGTTCGTGAAGCAGCTAAACGTTTTAGTTTACGACAAAATTCATCAATTTCTACAGATTCATCACAAACAAATGTGCCAAGTTATGCTCGTCCCAAACGGATATCACAATATAATTATGTTCAACCAAGAATTGATACTGGCTTGCCACGTAAAGAAAGTATAACTCGAAGAGATATGAATACTCATCAATTAGGACCAACTCGTTCAATAGATTGGCTTTTATTACAACAACAACTTGAACAAAATAAAGAAATATGTACACAAGCAAAACAACTAAAATTTAATTCTGGTATTACATATACAAAACAATTAAAAACATTGGTATATCAAGTTCAATTAAAAATTAGACAGTATTTATCATTAACAATGGGTCCCGGTGAAGAACGTTATAAAATAGTTGTTAATATTACTGTTTTTCCAAAAACAGCTTCGGGATTATTTATTGGATCAAGATGTTTATGGAATACAGCTACGGATAAATCTATTACAATTCAAATGGAAGGTGTTGATTGTAATATTCTTATTGTTGCTTATCTATTCTATACCGA